TCCTTTCCTTTTTTCCCCTTATCTATTAAGCTTGCTTTGGTTATATATATACCCCTTACCCCACTCGTTTCAGGGTTGGGGCAGAATTCCGAACGGTGGAGATTGAGGAAAATGTCTCTCTTTTTTTTTATATTTGTTCATGTTTCTTTTTCTTTCTTTCTTCCCACACACTTATGGAGTAAATGGGATGTTCCCTTTTTTTTCATCGTCCATGGGGGCGGAGCCTCTGCTCTGTGACAGACAGACAGACGACAGATGGGAAGAGATGGGGATGGGGGTTTATTAGGAAGGAAAAAGTTAGCAAGGGGGCTAGGGGAGAGAACGAAGGGAGGGGAGATGAATTCGTAGGGAGGGAGGGGCTTTGATAGGATAAATCAAAATATTAAAAAAGTTTTAAAAAACCTTTTTTAAGTCCTTCTGCTATTTATTCTTGAGGTGTGATGAGATGAGATGATGTGCGGAGGGTCGAATGGTTCTTCAAGTGAAGAAGGAAGGAACCAATAAACATACTACTTAATACCTGATCTCCTGGTTGGTATGGTGTGTAAGTCTAAGAATAAATAAGAGGACACGCTCTCCTATATGTATTAACGTACAGAGCCGGGTGGGTACGCAAGTATCCATACAAATCCAAACGCAACGAACGGCTGTAATGTCATGCGTGCTACTTACTATATGTAACGGAGTAATGGAGTTATCTCTAATCCTACTGATATTTGATGGAGATTCTTGTTGTATTGCCGGCAATGTCATCTCTCACGAGGGAGTTGTCACTTTGCAGGAAGGGGGGGGGGGGGAACTCTTGTTCTTTCTTGGGAAATCCGGACCGTTTATACTTCCGAACACACTGATAATGAATTACATGGCATGGAAAGCTAGATGATGAGTGTACTGTACATGATCATGTCGGGAATCAACCTATGCGTATTCAGATTCATCCTGTAGTGTCCATTATATGATCTGAAAACCTTGGAGCACTCACTGGCTGGATGGCACCCCGATGTACAGGCAAGGAAGTTCACGTTACTTTACATTTCCAGTAGACCTAATGATAAAGCCACGAGATGTAAAGCTCCTTGCGATCAAGGGCAGCCTCATGACAATAGTAGGATTTCGGCAACGCAGTCGAGTACCTAGATATCTCCATCCGCCCCGCAGAAGCTAGAGCTGTAGATAGAGTATAGTCCAACAAGTTGTCAGAGGATATAATAAGAAGATGAAAATTATGTACAGTTCCCCAACCATTTTCCAGCCTGATGTATCCTTGGTCCGTGTCTCACTTAGAAGACTGGCCTGTGTCCAGTTTCAGGTTCTTGGCGGGCTGTGAATCCAGGTCTAGCGAGGCAGCTCTCTTTCTCTCACCTTGCTCCCTGCCCGATGAGGTTTCCGAGAACCGGGTCCTCAGACGCTCGCATATATGTGCCGGGAGCCCATCCCCCTCTGCATTCTCAATCAGCTCTATGGCCCATCCGGCCGAGAAATCATGCCTAGTGATGAAAGGCAGCCTATCAACCACTCGGGCTAGTAGCCTATAGTTACGGTGATAACTGTGCAACTTTGTGGTAGCTGTTTCCAATAAGCGGATAACGGAACACGGACTGGCTGAGGTGCTGCTAGGCTTGGACGAGACGCGCCAGCTGCTAGAAAGTCTCCAAGAACACGAAGATAGAGACTTTCATGAGATGTGTCATGAGGAACCCCGAAAACCAAATTGAGATAGGCTTCAAAGGCGGTGCATGGCTCTTGATCAGAGTGCTGGACCATGACATCAAGGTCCGCCCCATAGCGCAGCAGCATGAGAGATATGACACCAGCCTCGAGCATCTTCCAAAACCGCTCTCGCTTGACTCTGATATCAATATTTCCCCACCACCACGACGTCAAGTCCGAAATGAGGACGGACCATGGCGATGAAGACAACCTTGTCCCTTTTTCGTTCTGCTGGATCTGCTCCGGGCGGAGCGTTTGGGTCTCTAGAGCTAATTGTAGCATCTCGATTCCCCGCTTCCGCCATTCGCGGAGTAGAGTTATTTCCGCTTCGTCGGTCAGGATGTAGAGAATAAGTGAATTGCATAGTCCGGATAGATATGATGGATCACGTGGCAGTTTCCACGCGAGAAAGCCTATGACCTGTCGGCTGATCAGCTGCTCGGGGAGGAAAGCCTCAGCATGCCCGGAAATCAACGATGCATGCTTTAGGGAGAACTTCAACAGCAATATACGATCGAGTTCGTCCAGAAGCTTGTATGAAGCCGCGCTAGCAATTTTCTCTGCAGCATCCATAGCCTTCTCTGTCAGGGCCTGCAGGCCACACTCGTGTAATTCCAGGACTGCTCGATGCTCTTGGTATTTGCCAAAGTCTCGACAGTGTGTCGGCCAGGCAAATAGGGTCTGCTTGATCCAGGCCGTATAAACCCTCAGGAGGGAGAGGTGGGGGTCGAACATGGCAGGTGTAATTTTTGGCAAGATAATTCGACATTTCTCAAGTTTTCATAAAGTCCGCGACAGTCCTGTGCAAGAATGTAACAGTGCTGGACTTTTTGTCCAGTTCTAGGAGACCGCGAGACAGACGATCCAGGCGCCACATGGTTTGTTCCATCGGCTCTTCATTGTCGGCCTTTGAATCTATCCGCAATGGAAGATTGAAGACGTAATTTTCGTCATCACATTCTTCGAGTTGTTCGTGAAAGTGGTAAGCCTTGGCATGCAGAGGATCTTCGGCATAAATAGCCAGGTGGAACGTTGTTCACATTGTGGCTCGGTAAAAGGGTTCAACGGAATCCAGTATCTGTTTGAAAAATACCTCGAGCTCGATTGGGAAGCTCTTTAAGCGTCGATAGAGAGCTGAGAAGCTGTCTCGGTTTGTAAGGCCGTCGCGAAGTAGTTTGGTAACAAGAAACACCCAAAGAAAAACACCTGAGGAGGATTTTTCAATTTCATATATCAGCAAGTCACTTTGGGACTCCTCAATCATGAGAAACGGCCATCGCGGGTGCTCTGAAAGGCGAAATCGGGTGTATTCAAGAATGTCGTTCCGAGTGAGGTCCTGGATGTAAAGTTTTGCCAGCAGATTTTCCCCAAAAGCTTGCTCAAATACGTTCCAAGGTCGACTAGACACACAAATCTTGATATTGGCCGACTCGGCGAGGTCCTTGAGAACCTGGCAAAGCTCATCATGGTCGCCATCGAATTCGTCCAAGCCATCGACGAAGAGGCAGAATCGGACTGATGTTGTTTCCAGAGTCGAAAGTTTCCGGACAGTAGTTTGAAGATCAGACAGGGTCCAACCGTTCTCATCCCCACCTCCAGGAACAGGGCGCCAGTCCCCGCAAGACGGTGATATAAAACCGGAGTGTTGTTTGAATATCGCATAGAGCAACGTGCGGATGAGACCCTCTTGAGATTTCTGCATCTTGGTTCCGGCGCTCCAAAAGTAATGGCTGGCCATGACGAGTCGCTTCGAGCCAGACCATTTCTGCAGAATGGACCGCGTTCTCGGATCGTCGGCGATGAAGTTCATGAACGTCGACTTTCCTGATCCCGGCTTTCCAGAAACCCAGAAGATCCCATCGCCACCCCTTAGCCACTTGGCGATGTACGTCGCCGAATTTCCTGTGTCTTCGCGGGGTTTATTGGATGCCCATCCGAATGTGTTTCGATAGGCCTCAGGAATTCTTGCGTGGCGAACTGGCTGTGTTGGGAACTGGTGACTCCTCAGGATAGCCTGTTCTCAAGCGACAGCCCCTTGGGAGAGACATAGTGCTGCGACTTGTTTCTCTAGAGACTCTATATCTTGAATAGAAGGCGTCCCCTGGGTGTTTTGTTGTTTGATGTCCTCCACATTCTTTGCTAAAAGGCGTGGTGCGGTCATGATTTGGTCAAGTTTGGTTGACTGATCAAAGTCCAACATCATGCCTTCGCTGCGGAGGCGCTCTAACTCTCTTGCATGTGCTTCTTGGGAGCGACTGTCATGCATATGCCAGTGATTTCAGTCTGGGACAAGTGGGCTATTGAGAAAAACCGACCTTGCGATGGTGCAAATGTGTAACGTCATCGTCGTCTGGGTATTATGCAACCTCCGCTCAAGTTCTTTGATCTCTTCCTTTTTCCACACCGCCTTCAGTGCAGTGCGAAAACTCTGCCAGCGTCCGCTGGTGCCATCTTTGACCTTGAGCTTGGCCACAGCGTGTAGCAGTTTCTCACAATCCGTCCTGCACAAATCGGAGAGTACCTGGAAAGACGTGACATCTATAGTAGATGCCCGGGATGGCGGGTCGACACATCCACGGACAATGCCATTCTTGGACATGAGCTTGTTGTTGAAGTCATTCAACTGTCCATAAAGGGAGTCTAAGGTCAGAACATCGCTGGTGCAGCCTGACGACGAATTCCGAATCTCAACAGCCGTTTGAATCAAGCTGGACGCGAACTGGAGAAACTGCGCCACGTTACTGGCGAGTCCGAGAGCTGCGATCGGTTCCATCGTGGTGATTCATAGAGGATGACTTGTCCGGTGTTTTGGCCTGGCTTTTGCTGATAAGAATATACAAGGTAGGTGAGGGATAGTCGCGTGGGAATCGCAACGCTTTTAAGGCGCCTGACAGACCTGATTGATAGGTAGCTAGCAGCCAGCTCACACTGCATATTGCCCAATGATAGCCAGCCGCCCAGCCTTGCCCTCTGTCTCACAGCTTGAGGCACAGCCACCACCAATGAAGCTAGGCTCTCACACAGGCAACAAAGTCATGGCAAGGCACACTGTCCAAGTTCTGAACTTGTTCGTGTTTGACATTGCATTTCGTACCAAAGCAGAGCAATCTTCGGCAATTTGACCTCCAAAAGACAGCAAAAATCGCAGACCATTGCTATTAGGTCATATCGATCTCGCCCAGCAGCGAAAAGGGGGGAAATAAAAAAGTACTAACTGACCCTTCCACATCAATCCTTGCGGTACATAGCCTCGCAGCTAGTGACAGCGAAGACATCAAAAATAGATGTTTTGAGAAGAGTGGGAATCGAACCCACGCTCTTTCGAACCACGGAATCTGAGGAACAGATGATGATTAAAGACTTCGGAGCCTTAACGTGGCGCCTTAACCGCTCGGCCATCTTCCCTGGGTGTTTGATGGAGAGGAGAGTGGGAATCGGGTCGTGAGAGGGAGAGGGTCTTCCCGGGAATCGTGCAGAGCGTGAAGTGGATCGATGGACTTGCGGGCTCGCTTGAAAATGTAGAATAGACCCGGGAAGGTGGGGCCGATAGCTGAAAAAGACAGTACCTAGAGACTACGGGAAGTACCCGCGTGGATTGGGTTGATGAGCCAAGTGACAGCAGGTTAGCCTGGTTACGTTGGTACTTGTTTGTGCTGGTGATGTATGGAATTCAGTGATTTTGATGAGTCCGAGAAGAAAAGACGGGCTGATTTTCAAGTGTGACCGGATGGAAGGAGCAAGTTTCATGTAACACAACGTATGGGTCATACATGCAGCAACAGTGGCAGCAAGAAAGGTAGGCGCCTGGCTCCGCGCCTTCCGAACAAACATGCGGCGGACAAAAGCATCAATGTCCTTTCTGGGGGGAGGAGAGCCAAGAGGGCCCGGCATTAGGTTTGGTTTGAAAGGCTCGGAGCAAAACTGAGTCTACTATACGGCTTGGATATCCGTATGGGGATTGCCTTCTTAAGACGGTCGGAGACTTGTCGTCCTTTCGCTGCCAAGCCCGAACCGAGACAGGAGCGCCAAGTTTAAACTGTCAGGTCCGGCTCGGTCAATCAAGAGACGCTCCGAGTCAAGACAAGGCCGAGTCTGTGCGGGGATGACAGGCCTAGCCTGGCCTTTCTGTCTGCAAGACATGATGAGGCTCAGCATGATGGAAGCTGCGCCGTACATACCGGTATCCGTACCCATCCATCTATTATCGGGAGCGGGATGTTGAGAGCCAGAATGGGATGGATCTTGGAGATGAGATTGATAGGGTGCTGACATCAACCCCCTGTTGCCTCTGCTCTCTCTCTGGGCTGATCGACTTGCATTGATAACTCATCAGACGACGCATGCTTTTCCTGTCCTCTGACGTCCCTAGCAAGCCTGGTCCCAGTTAGACAAGCAGGCAGGTGCCAAGTTCGGGCTTAATTGCATATGTAAGTCCCGAGCGGGCGGGAGCTACCTCTCCTCATGCAAGCTGTTGAGGATTTGTGGATACCTGTATTTGTTGAATCGAATCGAAGGCGGTCAATTGGCAAAGGAGTGGGGACGTGTGGTGTGTAGGGGTCCAGCCTCGGTTCGTCAATCGCCGGCAGAAGCATCTGATTGCTTCTCCCGCCCCCGATAGGTAATATGCAATGCGCATGTGACGACCTCTGTCCCCAGTATAGGCATCATCTTGATCCATCATCGTTTGCTTGTATCTTCCATGCTGGCTTCAAGCCCCCAAAGAGGCCAAAAGAACAACATCGCGGTGTCGCAAACAACAACGAGACACGAAAAAGGACCGAAAAAGTCATGACGTTCCTTATAAGACCACCACCCAAGCAACCGGGCTAAAGCAAATCGGAAGGCTCCCCTCGACAAGCTTCGGCCCCGAGTCGGCTCGTGCCAGGGCGATAGTTATCGAAGCTTGGCGCTTCTATGCAACGGCGGGCGCCCCGTCATTCTTTAGTGGCCGTCTCCACAAATCCCTGGGTGTGGACACTGAGCAGCGACGAAGGCCGCAGCACGAAATCTTCTCTTCACTTTACCCAGCGCTGCAAACGTGGAAGTCGCCATCAACCTTGTTGAGGAGATCTCTTCAGGGGGCCCCGATTCGAGAGACATACCCGCCACGGGGGCTCGGGGATCACCCAAGACGCACACGCCTGCCACGAGCTACGAGCCACGGATCGAGATGCCCTCCACTCTATCGCTCCGCGATTGGAGCCCGCGCCCTTGGCTTCCCGAGGTTCGTGGGCTCGATGCGTGGGACCTGTCGTGATTGTTTCTGGCACTCTTGTGGATCCCGATGGTCTTTTGGCATTTTTCCCCATGTCGCAGCAAAAGTGTCTGTGATGCGCATTCTGCTTGCCTGGTCCCCCTCGGGGTTGAATGCCAGCCAGCGCGCAAGTGCGCAAGGGCTGGCCAGGCATATGCGTTCCAACAAACCAAAAAACAAGTGATTCATCCCACCCGCCGCCGCCGCGTGTGTGTGCGAGCAATGGCTTAATATTGGCCTGTTTGTTCCTTCTGTTTTTGATAAAAGTGCTCCTTCGCCCTGGGCCCAAAAAAATAATGTCGAGTGCTCTTTCTTTTTCTTTCTTCATCTCATGCCCCAATCCCGCTCTGCCAGACTCCATTGACCCCTCTCCCCTCTTGGCCTTTCTTTGCCCCCCCGCTTCGTTGAGTCTCTGGCAACTCAACCCCGTTTCGCGTCTCGGCAAAGACTGGGTTGCATATCCGCCCCCCTGTTTTAGTCCAGTCAACGCAGATTGGACAGCTTCAAAAGCGTTGGGATTCTGGTGCTCACAAAAGCGACGAGCCCGTCCACCACGCAGCTACTTCTGAGAATTGATTTCCACAACCTCCCCAATTGAGCAGAAGAAGGAAGCTCCAGGTTCACACCGTCAACAATGGCTTTCCACTCGTCTGCCTTCGTGGCCCTGCCGCCCAAGGCGCTGCTCTCGTCCCTGTCCATTCCTCCCAATGCGCTCCCGGGCTTTATGACACCGCCCCCAGTCGGCTCCATTCCGTTTGCCCCACCTTTTGACATCCCCGAGAGCTGGTACCACGCCGTCCTCGACCCCAAGGTGCCCATCACCATCGCCGCCCTCTACGCCGTCTCGGCCAAGCTCCTCAACATCTACAACACCTCGACCGGCAAGAAGCCCTGGGCCATCAGCAAGACCCGCCCCTTCTTCTGGTTCGTCGTCCTCCACAATGTCTTCCTCGCCGTCTACTCGGCCTGGACCTTTTACGGCATGTTCGGCGCCCTGAGCCGCTCCATGGTCAGCCCCCTGGGTCCCCATGGCATGGCTGGCTTCGTCGACTCGGTGTGCCGTGTCAACGGAGCGGGTGGGCTGGGCAATGCCGTTTACTTCGACGAGGCCGCCAACTCGTGGGTCTCGCACTCTGCCGATGCTCTTCTTGAGGCCGACGGCTCCCCCAGCCGCACTGCCACTGGTCGCCTGTGGAACGAGGGTCTTGCCTTCTACGGCTGGATCTTCTACCTCAGCAAGTTCTATGAGGTCCTCGACACCTTCATTATCCTCGCCAAGGGCAAGCTGAGCTCCACTCTGCAGACCTACCACCATGCCGGTGCCATGATGTGCATGTGGGCCGGTATGCGCTACATGTCCGCCCCTATCTGGATGTTCGCCTTTGTCAACTCGGGTATTCACGCCATGATGGTGAGTTCACTCTGCCAACCGACTATTCGATTCAAAGCTAAATTGTTTGCCAGTACACTTACTACACCATCACTGCCTTCCGGATCCGTGTGCCCATGGTCGTTAAGCGCAGCTTGACTACGCTTCAGATCACCCAGTTCCTCGTTGGCGCCTCTTACGCCATGGCCCACTCCTTCGTCTGGTACTCTGTCCCTCTGCTTTTCACTGGATCCCAGAGCGAGGCCGCCGCCGCCTCTGCCTCCGCAGGTGTTAACGGCTCCACCGCCGGCGCATCCCTGGACGGTGTCAAGGCGACCCACGGCCGCGACGTTGTTCCCTGCGTTACGTCTTCGAGCGCTACCTTCGCCGTCTGGCTCAACGTGCTGTACCTCGCGCCCCTTACGTACCTCTTCGGCGCGTTCTTCGTCGAGAGCTACATGCGCCGCAGTAACGCCAGCAACAAGGCTGGCAAGACCACCGCGGCCCGCCGCATGAGCAACAACGTTGTCATTGCCGAGAAGGCTGGCTGGGACGCCGCCCGAGGCCTCAACCGCGAGGTGTACGGCGAGTCCAACGAGGAGGCAATCCTGACCGACGGTGCGCTTAAGGGCCACAAGTCCAATGGACGCGCACTCCGGAGCCGGCAATAAACAACAAAACTTACAGGGAACCGATATTTGATAACTAGAGTTTATTAGCTTGCCTGATGGGTCTTTTATACTCTCGATACGGGGGAAGATAAGCACGCGCAGGCCGAGGTCACCCACGGAAGCGTTTGCTCTTGTGACATATCATTGTCTGCTAGATTGTGCAGACAAATCTAGACCTAGATCTCGCATACAAAGCGATGCAGCGTATGATTTGCAACAAGCGTGGGGCTCGAGAGACCAACTGGGATTAATTTAGCTACTGTGTAATAGGAAAAGTGCTACACAGCAGCGGCAGGAAACTGCATTGTAAATAAACATACATGATACATATGATTAGGGCGGAATTGGACTAGAAAAATGGATTATTATGACAGCCGTTTCTACTTTTGCAGCCCATTCTTTTGGATGCCCCTGAATGTGTATCTCTGGACCAATATGGGATTTGTTGACTCCAGTGGAATACATGCAGCTCGGAAGGTAAAAATATATACATCATTCTCTCTGTTATGTAGCGAACAAAAATGCACGTGCATATATTAATTGGAAATGATATGTTGAATATTTTTGCGAAGTGACTGACCTCAACTGACAGTACCAGACTGCAAGTAATTGTGCGTTTGTTATCAACACTCGCTTTTTGCAGCTCTCTAATATGATGAACAATAATAAGCTCACAACTACATCCTAGCATTGAGATTCTCTTGGGGGATTTTTCTTTTTGCAATGAATACTGTATTAAAAGTCATATTCCGCATGAAGTATCTACTCCATCGCGCCAGCCTATCTTCAGCCTCCCCATCATTGCTGGCCTGGACCGGTTGAAGGTCTTGACATAGGCGCTTAGCCGCAGTCGCCATGAGACGTGCTGAACCCATCCCAGCGAAAAATAGCAGAAAATATTAAGTAGGCACGCCACTGTGATGGACATTACATGCCCCGATAAGTAGACTACCCTCCCGTGCTGAAGAACCCATAGGTTCTTGCCATGCCCACCGGTGAAGGGCATAGTGACACGTGATACCTTCCATGTCCACAGGGAAAATAGAAAGAAAATAAGAGAAATAAAAAGCCAGTAAGCCTAACTCCAACAAGTACCCATAATCAAAGGCAG